GGTAATTATTGCTATGGATCACACTGTAGAGTGGCTTCTCCTTGAGAGGTTGTCTATTGATATGATGATGATGATGATGATGATGATACAGTCACTACTGGATGGCAAAAACAAACATGGTGTAAGTGCAAAGTGGAGGTTCTTAGAAAGTGACTCATATCTCCCTAATTCCAGTGACATATTTGTCCAGGTATGTAACTAAAAAATGTGAATGCTTTTAGGTGGGGCTGGCTTTCTCCACTATAGCCTTAGTCTCCACCATGCTCTTCTGACCTTATGCTTAAATAATTTATTCATTTTGTTACCTGCTTAGTCCCTCAAGACATTTAAATTTTCAGGCTCTGCAGTAGAGCAATGTACCATCCATGTCCAACTAATTTATTCTTGAGTCATGCAATTAGAGCGTCTTAATTAAAATGAAAATCCCCTTATTTTCATGGTAGGTTAACTAAGGGAGTTGGGTCTGGATATTCCAATCCTCCTTTTCTTTGGCTACCACTTTCCCAAGTTCCACCCTGAGAAGTGCAGGCTGACCCATTGGTGTCCAGCCCCTGCAAAAATCCATGTGTCCACAGCTGCCCATGGAAGGTGGGATTCTTTTCATTCAGAAAGGGGATAAGCTCTGCCTTGCAAAGTGGACACTGTCATTATTAGACAAAAAGCAAGCCAAAACCTCACTGAAGTACTCTGGTGTTTGTGGATCATGCATTCACAGGTGCAGTGGTTTATGTTCTCTTTTGACACATGGCTCTTATTAACTTGAAAGCTATGAACTATCTACGTGTGCCCACATATAGTGTTGACTTCTTTTCTTCTCTCTCTTCCTTTCTCATTTGTTTCCTAAGACAGAAGAGATAAAAGAAAATCCAGCTGTTCCTGGAGATATAATTTCCACTCTGGCTACATTGGATCCTCAGTTTTCCGAGAAAGGACTTAAATGTATTAGTTTGGTTCGCAGTGTTCTCACAAGGAACTTTACTTGGTGGCCTGGAGCCATATGGGGTTGGGTTGTTTTAAGATAAATAATGTAAGGAAATTAGCATTAGATCATTGGCAGAAATGTCTCTGTGTCTATTAAGGAATGATAGCATGTAATTTAAAAGCCTGGTTCATGGTGGGAGGGAAGGGGTGAAAGTGGAAGTTCCAGTTTATGTTTTTGAAATTTTTTTGCCAAGGTGATGGCACTTTCTCCAGAGCTGAATCAGATGGGCACTTTCTAGAGCTGAGGAGTCTTCTAGAAGCCCCCATTCCCTGAGATCATGCCCTACCATCCTCTCAGGACCTGCTTTCAAGAGCATTGAAGAGCTGGGAGTGACAGGCAGGATCTCTAATAGGCTTTGCAAGAGATTGAGGTTGTTTGCGTTTGTCAACAGTGATACTCATATTTCCTGTATTTTATTTCTAAAGAAAAATAAACTAAAGGGCATCTTATTTTTTGAAACAAAAATTGTCCTTCAGCCTCTAACTGAGAACGTATTTGTGGTTGTATGTATGTGTTTCTACATATACATTCCAATAAGCACACATATAAATAGTAATATAAACTTTTGACAGCAGAAGGCACATCACAAAACACTGAATCTCAGATTTTTAGATTTTATGAATCAAGAACATACAAGAAAAAAGAAATTGGGGAGTCCAGCATAGCTTACGTTTTTCTAAGTAATTTGATCAATTTTGCTATCTCAACCACTTTTTAGTGTAGAGTTCAGTAGTGTTAGATAGCTTCACATTGTAAATTTTGATAATTTTTCAGGAAAAAGTGAAACAGAGGGACCTCATCAGTCCTTATCATTTCATGAAAGAAAGATTTTAACATGAAGAAAAAGGAATTGGTAGGTACAGAGATTCCTTCATCTGTGGTAGAACAGACCACAGAAAAATGTTTATACTACTTCAAAGAAAAATATAGCAAGGAACTATGTGTAGGATTTTCCAGATATATATATATATATATATATATATATATGACAGAATTATATTATATTTTATATATATATATATATATATATAAAATTGTTGTTTTTCAAAGACGGAACAGCTACACTAAGCAAAAGGAAAGAAAATGGGGCTGGGAAGCTGGCTCAGTGGTAGAGTGCTTGCCTTGCATGCATGAGGCCCTGCATTCGATTCCTCAACACCACATAAGCAAAAAGAAAAAAGCCGGAAGTGGCGCTGTGGCTCAAGTGGTAGAGCGCTAGCCTTGGGCTGAACTGCTGAGGGACAGTGCCCAGGTCAAATTCAGGTCCATGAACGACAAAAAGAAAGAAAGAAAGAAATGTACATATCACCCAATTTGGAAGAAATAGTTATATTGTCAAAGTTTATAGAATTCACAAACTTTATAGACCATGTTAATGGCAATTTGCCTTGTGAAGGTTAAAATGTGTTTGTGACTTTAAGTATCACTATCTGACAATACTGTGAAATTTATGTAATCACTTCATCTCAATGAAAGTTATTAAAAATTGTTTTTCATCTTTGCTATAGATCATTCCTACCAGTACATGAACTATTCTTAGGCCCTGATGAGACAAAAAGCTTGTGCTAGGCCATACTTGTGCTCATGGCTCATGCCAATAATCTTAACTATTTAGGAGATTAAGCTCTGAGAATTGAGGTTTCAGATTAGCTTGGGAAGACATATTTCTAAGACTCTCATTTCCAGTTAACCAGAACAAAGCTAGAAGTGGATGCACAGCTCAAGTGAATGAAAAAAGCTGAGCCAGATAGAGAGGCCTGGAGTTCAAGCACAGTGTTGGCATAATAAAAAACACACAAACAAAAAACCAAAAACTTTAGTTAGGATGAAGTCAGCTATTATATCCCTGAGCACACAGGTAGTACTTTCCACTAAGTGATTTTGTTGATGAGTAAAGCTGATTGAGATTCTGAAATAAACATCTCCATCAGTGGGCCAAGCATTCTGGCACTTGTCAGGAGCCTAGCTCAAGGTCTGGTTTTGTTCGTTCAAAAGTAAAAGTTGACAGTTGTGGTTGAAGCCTATGTATTTTTATTTCATTCTCGTTTTCCTCTCTTCTCCCAAGTTAATTAGTGCATTGAAGTGGACAGATACTTTCCAAGTCCATACTACATTCACATAACTCATTAGCAATGTATAGTGTTGGCTCTTTAAAGGACCATATTGGATATAGCCTTCTGAAGTTTTAATTTGTTTTATACAACACGATTTAAAGACATCTACATTTCACCATACAGCAGATGTAGATCTGCTCTGTATTGCTTCATGTGACTATACTAGGTCATATTTATCTGTTGTCTTATTGATAGACATTTGAGTTGTCTCTAGTTTCCTTTTCTCATACAGATAACACTCTGTGCACGGGAGTAGAAATTTGATCAGGGGTGTCATCTGAGAGTAGAGTTGTTGTGTCAAAGGTGCAGTGACAACTTTATCACAAAATCTAATTATTCCCTAAGCAGCCTAACTGTTAACTACGTCTTTTCAGGTCAATGGAGAGTGAGAAAGATAACATTGTAAGCCAGTCATTAATCACTTTGTTTTCTGGACCAAATTGAGAATCATTGATTGTTCATTAGTCTGAGATTTAGCTCAACGTTTTTCTAGAATAGAGCAGGGGTCTGGCAGATAGTGTGAGGTGACTGGACATTGACCCTTCCTTAAGTTTCCTTCTTTTCATGTGATGGAGAAAATGTTTGCAGACAGTCTGTGAAGCAGATGGAGTTGGGTGTTGCTGTCTCTCAGGCTTTATTATAAATGCTTTTTTGGGTCCAAGAAAATCCTGTGGACCAAAAATTGGCCAGTCTTCTCAGACAGACTTCTCAGTAGTCCTTTTTGGAGTAGCTGTGTTGTTGCTCAGAATGTGAGATGATTTTTAAGTTTCTTCCCACCGTCTAGTCTGTGGTTTCTTTGAACCCATTGGGGCGATAGCCAGGGAAGAAGTGAGCCCAGGTTCCATTGGGATTAGAAGTCAGACTATGTTCCCAGCTGGCTGGTAGGAAGTCTGAGGAGGCTTCTGTGGCCAGTGGCTCCTGTGGCCAGCCACCACTAGCCCTGGTATGAGCCCACAACCTGGGTGAATCAGTCTTTAGTCTGAAAGAACAAACTGGTAACTGAGACAAGGGTCAGTGTGCTTAATGTACTTTATTCTATAGTCTTCTCAGTTGCCTTAGTGAATAGTGAGTGCTTTGCACACTTTAGAAAACAGTAAGTGGGAAGATAACTTGGTGAGTAAAAGCTATACAGCCATTAAAGAGAATAATAATGAACTGAAATCTGCCTTTGCCACTTACGCAATTCTGAGCCTGTGAGAAGCCTGTTGCACCTCCATCCCAACACCCCACATGCTTAGTTGTGAAATAGGTGGGGAAAGTCTGAGAGGCATGCCTCACAGGCTAATCTGCTTTAAGGATTTAGATGTTGTCAGGGTAATTTTTGGTGTGTAATCGAGATAGCTGAAATAGTCAATTATTAAAAACTTTCCCCATGGTTTCTTTCTGGAAAGTAGGTGATAATGCTGGAAAAGCAGCTGTGTGTGTGTGGGGGGGGGGGGTCCTGGGGCTCTTAGCTTTTTACTGACACTCTCCACTTGAGCCATAGCTCCATTTTTGGCTTTTCAGTAATTAATTGAAGATAAGAGTCCCAAGTGCCAGGTGCTGGCGGCTCATGCCTGTAATCCTAGCTACTCAGGATAGCTGAGATCTGAAGATCACAGTTCAAAGCCAGCCTGGGCAAGAAAGTCTGTGAGACTCTTTTATCTCCAATTAACCACCAGAAAACTGAAAGTGGCACTGTGGCTCAAGTGACAGAGTGCTTGCCTTGGGCTGAAGAGATCAGAGACAGGACCCAGGCCCAGAGTTCATGCTCTATGATAGACCAAAAAAAAAAAAAGAGTCTTAAGGACTTTTCTGCTTAGGCTAGCTTCAAACCATGATCCTCTGATCTAAGCCTTTTTGAGTCACCAGTGCACAGAACTCAGACTTTTAAAATATGCTTTTTTCTCTTTTTCTTTAACCAGCTGTCAAAACTTGAGAAGCAGCAGCAGAGGAAAGAAAAGACCAGAGCCAAGGGGCCTTCTGAGTCAAGCAAAGAACGAAACACTCCCCGAAAAGAAGACCGCAGTGCCAGCAGTGGGGCAGAAGGTGATGTGTCTTCTGAACGGGAGCCGTAGACACAGGAGGCAGGAGCTCAGGTAGGATTTTCCCACCTGCTCAACCTTGCCCTCACACATTTTGGTGGAAGGAACAGTAATGCATTGAGGTCAGAATGGCTGCTGAGGCAAAATACATTCTATGGACATTTGTCCCCAGTGTCTTCAGATTTGCTACCTTTGTTAAAAGAGAAACACTGTCAGGTGGGGTTGTGTTTCATTCACTGAGTGAAGGCGGGCAGGGTGCCCACAGGCTGGAGTGTCCCTCATTGCATTGCTACCACGAACATATGTGGTATAGACCATCAATTGTGTGTGATCCCACCATCAGACTCCCCATCACCAGTCCTGTTCTCAGCTGCTGAAGTGGAGGATAAGATCCTCTGCAACATTTCCTGCCTTTGTCCTGCCATCATTCACTTCATCCTGCAGTATTCTGGCAGCATTGCCAGTTTCCTTTTCCTGAAACAATGCTTTATACTTAGTTACAAGGTGAACACACACAGTTATTTCAGGCATATTATAGTTAAGATACCTATTGGCAGCTGAGGGTGACATCAATAGTCTCTTGAGTCTGTAGGTTTGGAGCCGAGGGACAAGACAAGAGATTGTCTATAAGGTGACTTTTTGATTTTTCATTCCCTTCTGAAAGGGAGTAGGGGTTAGAAGTCCATGAGATAACCTTTAGGATTAACATGTCCAGATATTGAGGTATCTTAGTAATATCTGAGTGCAGTAGTACCCACTCAGATAAATAAGACTAAAGAAATGAACAGAGAAACTCAGAAAGGTGGGGTTATTGGTTCACTAATAATTTTGGAAAGCTGGCTAGTGAATTCTCCTATTCTGCCTTTACCCCAGTCACTATTTTCTGCCATTGTGAGGATATGACAAGTATGGGTCAGAGGAAAGCCATGTCACACTATAACTCATTAGTCACAGCCACAAGCCTACCTTTAAGTTATCATGATGTTCAGGCCTAACGCTACCGATCATTATTCATGAGCTGAAACCCTTGGTGTGAGTTAGGGGTGTCCATGAATATTCAGTGATGTTGTGTGGTAGTTTTATCACAGAAAACTTCCATTCTCACACCTTCTAAGACTTGAGGGTGATCTTTTTCCTGCCAGTGGTCAGTTTTGTCATCACAAATACTGCTGGTGCTACTAATTTATAATCTGTCACAGAAATCCTAAACCCAAGCCAAGCACTAGTGGCTCATGCCTATAATCCTAGCTACTCAGGAGGCTGAGATCTGAGTATTGCAATTTGAAGTCAGCCCAGGCAGGAAAGTTTGTGAGACTCTTATCTCCAATTAACCATTAGAAAACCGGAAGTGGTAGATCCCTACCCTTGAGCTGAAGAGGTAGATCCCTAGCCTTGAGCTGAAGAGCTCAGGGACAGTGCCTAGGCCCAGAGTTCAAGTTCCTTAACCAACCAAAAAAAAAAAATTAAAACTAGTAGTTGTATTTACTTTCTTCCCAGAGTGGTACGGATTGGGTAGCATAGAATTTGGGATAAATGATACTGTTATCAGCCACCCAAAAAACTAGTAGCCAAGAAAGTAAACCCAGAGACGTGGGAGAATCAAACCCAGGGGAAAGTGCTTAGAAAATAGTTGGCAGAGGTTATGTTATGCTCCTCCTGTGCAAGTCAGGTTCACTGAAGCCATGCCATCATTATGGAGCTAGGCAGGAGAGAAGGCAGGGAATGAAGAGGGGTGATGTAGTAAAGCCCCTGCCTGGTAGAAGGGAAAGTCAAAGCAGCCCTCAGATTAGGAGGAGCCATAAGAAGGAACAAAGGGGAAGACGGAGGGGAAACCAGAGGCATGCCCATGTGTTTGAGTAGAAGGAGCAGCAAGACATAGTTTGGGATCGAGTATAGGGGTTCAATGACTTCAATCCTGCTTCTCAGCATGGTTATTTCCCATGCTATAGAGGTGTACCTAGGTCTGTTGTGCTGATGGTGGGTTGTGGGCAGAAGAGGATCATGCCCCAGGAGCTATGAGGAACAGCTTCATCAGGAGATTGGGTTCATGATCTAGGAACTTCACAGCACTAACAGTCAGTTCCATGACTCCCATCTGGGTTCCTGAGTAAGATTTACAGGGGCCTGTGGTGCTAGTGGAGGAGCTTGGGAAGCTAGATCAAACTGAATGAAAGGAAGGTAAAAGAGTGACGTATCTCTTCTCAATGGGGATATCAGGTACAGATATTAAGCAGTACCAGCTACTAGACCATCAGGTCTGCTGAGGACCCAGAGAGTGCTGTCGACACCAAGGTGAGACAGAGCTTCCCTGTGCAGTATCTCCTTGGATGCTGTTCAGTGGCTGGTAGCTGGTGAGCAAGTTTAGATTTGTTACTCATTTATGTAGTACTGACTGGGTTTTGGAAAGCCTTCATTTATTGACAGTTTAGCATAGTCATCCACTTGTAGTTATTCAACTCATAGTATACAAAGACAGAACCTCATCTGGCATGTGATGCTGCTGTATGAGCATGAGCAGGACCTAGAAGAATCTTTCTGAGCATGCCCGCTGGACCTTCCTGTGACACCCAGTCAACCAGGTACAGGGAGGAAGGCAGAGGTACTCCTGTCTCTGAGAATGTAGCCACATTCCTGGATTTGAAGACCCTGAAGAAAGCAGGACTAAATGACAGCTGGCACTGTAATTATACATTCAGTGTTTTTGTTGCTTACCCCCCAAAAACGGCAATTTGTCATTCCATTAAGACTGCAAAATCACCCCCAAATATTCAGTTATCTGTAAGAGCTGAATTAAGCATGACAGACAAGAAGGGACCTTTTATCTGCTTTGCCCCATAGAAAAACAGACACCCCACAACTACTACTACCACCACCACCCATTCACACATAAAAGGAAGTAGCCATTTTCATTTAAAAACAGAAGCAGCCCTGGAGAGCTTCACAGGCCCCAAGGGGAACAGCTTTGATTTTCCACAGTAATGTGAGGGAGAAAGAAAGGCAAAAAGAATATGGAATGAGAAAGGCATGATCTTGGGTATATTTTTCTTTAAAAATGAATTAAAACCTCTCATGATTCATAGGACGTTCCCAGGGCATCAGCATTTCTCTATGATGGTATAAACATTCTTTCTCATTTTACCAAATGGACATTAAGCTTCTAAAAGTAACTTCCAGCTATATCCTCTGTCTTGTTTCTTCAGAGGACTCACCTTGCTGGGAGGATTCAAGGTTTTCTCTGAGACTGCAATTCCATTATTTCCTCCTTCTGGCCACCACTTAGGCGCTAGGGCAATCTCTCTGAAAGGTGCTGCCTCTGCTTTCCATCCTGCAGACTACAGGTTCATTTGAGTATTTACTTAACTGCTGTAATTAGGGTGTGAGAGGAATTTACTCCACATTTCTGTTCTTAAAATGTCAACACACTGGAAGTCAAACAATGGAAGTGTTTTGGAAACTACCATCTGTTTGCTTTTTCAGCTTGACCTTTGTCTGAATAATAAGATGTGTTCTGGAGGAGCACATTTCTTCCTAATGAGCTAGAGTAGTTGAGTGTGTTTGTGTGTCTTGTGAAAAGGGCACTTGATTGCTTTTTACTGTCTTCTGTGTATGGAAGGATCTCCATTCTCAGTGTCAATATCTTGGCCACCTCCCCAAGCCCATGTATAGGTATTTCATGATATAAAACTAGCTGTGCCTCTAAAGTAGTATAGTCTTTTTTTTTTAAACTTAAAACAGTAAAAAACAAAAAACCCAACAACAACCAAAAATACCAGGTTGTTCCAAGGAGCCCTAGTGTTTCTCCTATTCCTTCCTGTGTTGTTTTCAGGGTATCTGCTTTTACCTCCAGCTCTTTGATCCATTTGGAATTGATTCTGGTTCAGGGATACATATAAGGATCTAACTTTAGTTTTCTACAGATGTTTAACCAATTTTTCCAGCACCATTTGTTGAAGAGGCTGTCTTTCTTCCATCCTATTTTTTTGGCTCCCTTATCGAAGATTAGATGGCCATAAGTCTGCAGGTTCATTTCTGGGTCTTCAATTTTATTCTATTGGACCTCAGGCCTGTTTTGTGCCAGTACCAAGCTGTTTTTATTACTATAGCTTTGTAATAGTTTGAAGTTTTCTATTGATATTCCTCCACCACTGTTCTTTCTGCTATTCAGTGCCTTTTATTATTCCAAATGAATTTTTGGATTGCTTTTCTTAATAAATATCCAGCAGCATAACAAAGAAAGGTTGGACAAATGGGATTGCATGAAACTGTAGAGCTTCTACATGGCAAAGGACATAGCTAACAAGATAAATAGAAAGCTCACAGATTGGGAGAAGATCTTCACTAGCCATACAACAGACACGGGCCTCATATCTAAAATATCCTTAGAACTCAAAAAATTAAATCCCCCAAAAACAAATCCTCAAAGAAACAACTGCCCCATTAATAAGTGGGCTAAAGACTTAAGAGACTTTTCTGAAGGGGAGATAAAGAAATGCTCAATATCTCTGGCCATAAAAGAAATGCAAATCAAAACAATATTGAGAGGCTGGGGAGGTGGCACAGTGGCAGAGTGCTTGCCTTGCAAACATGAGGCCATGGATTTGATTCCTCAGCACCACCAGCTGTAAATGGTGCTGTGGCTCAAGTGTTAGAGCACTAACCTTGAGCTGAAGAGCTGAGGGACAGCCCCAGGCCCAGAGTTCAGGCCCCATGACCAACAAAAATAAACAAACAAACAAATAAATAAATAGCTGAGATTCTACCTCATTCCAGTGAGACTGGCCATTATCAAGAAATCTAGGGGCTGGGAAGGTGGCTCAGTGGTAGAGCGCTTGCCTTGTAAGCATGAGGCCCTGGGTTCGATTCCTTAGCACCACATAAGCAAAAAGAAAAATGCCGGAAGTGGTGCTGTGGCTCAAGTGGTAGAGAGCTAGCCTTGAGCTGAAGAGCTGAGGGATAGCGCCCAGGCCCAGAGTTCAGGCCCCGCGACCGGATCCAAAAAAAAAAAAGAAAAGAAATCTAATAACCACAGATGCTGGAGGGATATGGCCAAAAGG